GTGGCCCTTAAAACCTCTTGCCCTCAAAGCTTCTTGGAGATACAAAGATAAACCAGCTTACTGCTGACTGTCAAAATTTCCAGCCAGGTGCAAAGTTTGCATCCTTAGACAGTCTTTCTTATTAATTTCCCCAAACTGCTGTGAAAGAAAGTAAGTAACAGGTATTATTTGCCACGTGAGGGTGGGAAGAAAGAAATAAGATGCAGAGGTATGATGATGTAAAAGATTTGTGATCTGCAAACCATCGGCAGAAAGAAATGCTGTGTTATTTGGGGAGTCTTCCAAAGAAACCGCTGGAGATGGCACATACCCCAAATGTTTCTCTGCTCTGCTGCAGCAAGAGGGGGGCACACCAGGGACTCAAAGCATTAGAGAAGAGGTAGAGATTAATTGTGAAATTAAAGCAGCAGGTCTGCTGCTGCTCTGGTGGGCTCTACAGTGCAATTTCTGCAGTGCAATTCTCACTTGCCACCGAAGCATCTGTGCAGAGGTGGGAACAGGAAACCACCACCAAAGCAATTGCCTCCTTCCCTCACTTCCCTCTCCCAAGCCCCCAAAGCAAATCCCCATAGAATTTCATGCCAAGCACTCAGATGACCCTATGGACATGCTCACCTGATGTTCTTGGTACAGGCACCTGTGATAAGGTGAGGCAAGCAGTGCCTGTTCCTTTGGCTGGACGATGAGGAAGGAGCACGCTGCTAATAACAGGGATACAGTTTCACACTGGGCAAGCAGCCAGCTCCTAACCACAGGGATTTTAACTCATATCCTTGCAAGTCGTGGATCTTTGCCCACCAGCCTGTAATATTTCTTTCCTGTCAAGGCTTGAAATCGTCCATAGGTCAACCTATTCCTGGCTCCCTGTGCGTTGACAGGGATTTGCTCTCCAAACATGCTCCTGGCTTTTGTGTTTGCAGGTGGCCCTCGTGGGAAAGTCCTGGATGTTAACATGGCAGCATTCATTGCCCTGGGTGAGTGCCGGGGCTAGTACTTAGTGTTCTGCCTGTATGGAGTTGGCCTTTGTGCCTACAGAAGAGGAGGAATGAGTGGCAGCCTGTGATAAGGGTGTGTTGTACAAGTATTGGGGGTTGATCAATTAGTCTTTTTTCTTGCTTTGGTATATTTACAAGGTACAAACTGCCTACTGGCACCATCCCAAGTCTTAATTTTTCTGCAGTGGTGAGGATATACTTGGAGAGCTTGTTGGACTGCTAGGAAGTCATCGTGCCAGTTCATTGCCTGGTGTGGTGGGGGTTTTCCTAGCACAGGTGTAGTGACGGTCCTCAAGGTCAAGGTCCATCCTGCCAGACTTTGCAAAATTGTTTTCTTACTGAACTAATGCTGGAAAATGAAAGATGGGTTACTTTTGACTTGTCTTGTTGTAGCACTTTTTAATTCTACTGTACCCGATCTATGCACTCTCTCTTTTTGCATCCTGGTTTATTCTTCAGCTAATCTTTGATTTCCTTTCATGGCCCTCTACCAAAAATCAGCATGAATATCCCAGATCTACCCCTCTGTCTCTTTTAGTCCCACATTTCTAATGCTACTTTCAGCTTTCCCTTCGTGTCCTCCTGTGTCCTCTATTCTCTTACAGATTTCCTTCTTCTAATTTTCCTTTTCAATCAGACCCTGGTTATTCCATGTGCCCTTCTGTAAGACATTTGAGAGCCTTCCTGTGACTTCAGCAGTTTCCAAGCCCTTGAATCTGTTGTTTATTTATTTGTTTTACAGAGAATAACCAATGTCAGTGTTCTTAGTCCTGTATCTTTCTCTAAGATAGCGTTTCACTACTGGTAACCCCCTTGTTTGAGCATCATTTCCATTTCTTGTCCCTTGCTGTTTCCTCCTAAAGAACCCAGACCCACAGCTGAATCACTCCTCCCCTCCCAGCACCCCACAGTTCTCCTGTGCCTCACCACTGATTTCCTGCCATTCTTTCTGTTCTAAACCTCTTGCCCTCACCTGCAAGTTTGCTTATTTTCTTGTGTTTTCCCCATCTCTGTCTTGCCCACTTTCATTTCCAGAATCCTCCCGCTGCTTTCCATGCCTCTGTTGCCCAACTGGTTTTACCTCCTGCACTGTGCAAGCCCCAGTGCTCAAAGCAGCTCACCATGACCAACTTCTGCCTTCACTTCTTGTCTCATGGCTTTTTATTTCTCCCCAGCCCTCACTGTGCTACTGGACACTGTCCATGAGCATTGTCAGTGGTGCTCTGCTGTGCAGGCCCTGGAGAGGACGCGCTCCTCTGCTTTGTAGGGGCTCGTGCTCCTTTGCAGCAGGTTTAAATAAGGACATGGTCTACTTGCTTGCCATCAGCCTTGCTTCTGTGACAGCAGCTCTTTGCTGGAATAGAATACAGCAGGAGACCTTGAAACATCATGAAGATCTTTGCCAGGGCATTAAAACTGCAGAGATGGAAGTGGAAATTGTAGCAGAGAGAGGAAAAACAGTACAGCACCTTCAGATCCTGCCTGGGGCCACGGGCACCGCTCCTCCCATGGCACTCGGCTCCCTGAGCCCACCTACGCTCCGTGCTGTGCTTTGACAAGCTGCCACCACCGCGTGCATGGTGAAGCAACGACTGCAAACACACGTCCTGCACACCTGTAGAACAAGGGCAGGAGTTTTACTGTCACCTCACTTTGTTTTAAACTCCCAGGGCAGCCCAAGAGTGGCAGCTCCTTTTGTGCTTCCAAGCCATGGGGGCTACTCAGTGTCCTTCAATAACATAGCTTCTTACCTATTTATTTAATTCAGAAAACTCGATTGAATACCAGCATCTCATCTGACTGCTGAATAACTTATGTATTATAAAAGCACAAGAGAAAAATCCTATTCTTAGGCCTGGGTGAAACCTTTCCAGCAAAATTCCTAAAGAAAGGAATTAGAGGGACCAAAAATACCTGTGAAATTGCCTTGAACACTGGATGAGGAAGGGGACACTAGGAACTGGGTCCTTGAAAATGCTGGACGTTTTAGTAGTGCTTTTTATGAAACTTCACCTTTGAAATGTCTTTTATTCAGAGACTTAGATCTCTGTAAATTTTTCATCTGTACTGAAAAAAAAGAAGGAATTTGATGCAGTGAATTTTGACTGGAATAAAAAACAAACAAACTGTATTTCTTTTCTAGATCCAAAGCTTTGTACTGGCAACCGAAGCAATAGCTTTGATTTGCCAAAAAATGAGGATGATGCAGATGCCTGTGAGCTCTCTGATGTGCTCAGTACTCCCTCTCCCCTGAAGGTCTCCACTTTCTCCTCTCCTGGACCCTGGGCACTGCAAGAGCCTGCTGAGGTGATGGCTGTCCTTATCACAATGCTCATACCCAAATTTGAACAGCAGATGAGGGGTTTTGGGGTTTTTTGATCCTCTAGCTGTTAAGCTACGTTTCAGCTCTTTATGCTGACTCACCGGTTCGGCCCAGAGCCAGTGTATTTGTGTGACTCCCCTTCATTACCATACATGCCTCAGAAAGCAGCTGTGCTTACAACACACTTTCAATAAACAGACAACTGAATTATGGACTTCCGAGACTGATCCAAAGTTGGTCAGCTCTCCAGTGCCCTGGGCTAAGACCCACTGCCAGACCCAGGCTTTGGAAAGCTTCCTCTACAATGCACAGCCCAGGGCTGCCAAGGTCTCTGTCTGGTGATCTAAGTCTAGTCCCAGATCTGTAATTAACCTTTGGCTAAAGATTCTCCCATGCCATCCATCCTGCACCTCTGTCTCTGTGGATCCAGTGAGAAGGGGGACATGAAAGCACTTTCTTCCCATAAGTTTTGTTTTCCAGGTTTTTGTATATGCAAAGACAAGTTTTACAGTTAAGACATGTCTCCATTTGTCAGTTGGTGACTCCTATAATGTGATTCTGCCACATTGCAGCAGTAATTTGTGAATTCTGGACAGAGCTCCTAGTCAGGTGTCAGAGTAAGTTCACACCTAAATCAGACCTTCATCCTGTGGATGCTCTTTCACACTCATGTACAATTGCAAAGATCCAGGTTTGTTACCTGTGAACGCTTACCTGCACCTTGTCATGTTCAAAGGGAGTGGCTGTCATTTCTAACCAAAAGGTCTTTGTTAAGCTAGAAAGGTCTTAGTAATACCCCACAGCTTGATGTCAGAGCTGTTCCCCATTGATCTGTTCAGTCTAGTGGAGGCCCTTTCCCAAGGAGAAAAAGTATAGATGGTGATTAATTGTCCAAGTCTTCTGAAACCTATTTCACCCCAGAAAAAACAACCAATCCCAGACACAATATCTGAGAGGAGCGTGAGGAATCCTCTCTGCTCTGCTCCCAGTGGGTGAGTATGGGCTTCTCAGTGCCACTCCACGGCCCTGGAGGCTTCTTGGCTTCTCTCCCAGCTCTGGTGACTGGTTTGACTCCTGACAAAGGCTCTTATCTGCCTCTTTTTATCTATAAAATGGGTATAAGGCACACTTCAGGAAATGCATTTGTTTTTGGTATCAGTTCCTATGTTTAACAGCCTGATGTGATGTTACATTGTATTGGGGGCGGGTTTTAGTTTTCCCTAAAAAATTCTCTGTAACCTCACTCTACCATCAAATTGCTCTGTGACAAATAGGAACCTGCTGGTAGGCTCGGCTATTTATGCCAAAAAAAACGGGCAAAACGGCTTCTAAGGTAGATATCCATCTTCCAGTTTTAGTGGGGGCAGCAGCACGCGCATCTTGTGCTCAGGCAGAAGTCGGAGGAAATCTTATCTACAGGTAGCTGGGCAGCCACAGGCAGGGGTGCGACCTTCCACCACAACTCAAACAGTTTTTAAAAAATATTAATTAATTTATTTATCTCATTTCTGCCTGGCGGCACAAACAGCCCCGCCCGCCCCACGCGGACGAGCCGTCATCCCTCAGAGCCTGCAGCTGCCGCTCCCACAGCATCCCTGGGGTCCTCCGCGCCTTCACCTGCCGAGTGGGCGCGGGGCGGGCGCCGGTCCCCGCCCGCCCCCGGCAGCGGCCACAGCTCCGCCCCGAGGAGGGGCCGGGGCCGGAGGCGGGCGGTGATCGGCGCGGCCGCTGCCTCCTCCTGCCTCTCTCTGCGTTCCCGGTGCCTCTCTCCTGACCGGCCGCTGCCTGCAGGGCGCGGGGCCGGGCCCGCTGCGGAGCTGCCGCGGTGAGTGCGGGGCCGGGCGGGGAGCGGGGGCTAGGGCTGGCTCGGCTGGGCTGGGCTGGGCTGGGGTGGGCTGGGCTCGGCTCGGCTCGGCTCGGCTCGGCCCGGCGGGATGCTGCGGGCTGGCGCCGTGGCTGCCGCGGTGCTGCCCGCGGGAGCGGTGCTGGGGGCGCGGGGCGGGTCCCGCCGCGGTCACAACGCAGAGTTTCGGTAACTCCAGTCCCTCACAGCCCCGGACCGGCCTGGCGGGAGCCGCTGGGATAAGGCTGCCCTCCCCGGCAGCGGCTCATCCCGGCACGGCCAGTGACCTTATGGTGGGCGCATCCACTGATGAGGACTTTCAAGGCAGTTTTTACTCCGTGGAGCTTTTGTCGCTGGTGTTTAAGTGTCATCTGTACCGTGGGTCATCGTGCGAGACACAAAGCTCTATAGATATGAATGCCTTGGTCTGCTCGTGAATGGGTTTTTCTTGAAATTCCTCTCCCTTTTGAAATGATTGGGGTGTGGAAGAAATTTACTCGAGGTAGCAAAATATAAGCGACTCTAATTCCTGAAATGGCTTAGGGATTTCAAGTGCTGGTTTCTGTGTGAGATGAAGGGATTTCTTGCAGAGAGTCTCCTTTAGATACTGGCAGACCAAGGGAACTTCAGCCTGAACTTCAGTGCCTTCTCCAGCTCTAGGGCCTGAGGTGTCACTGGTGGTAGAGATGCTTTTGGTTCATTCTGACGAGCCAACTTTGCCAATGTCTTTGCTTACTTATTATGAAAAGATCTCTTCTGCATTGTGGTAACTGCTCGAGGAGGAGGAGGATGTTTCAATCTGCAATAGAGCTGTAGCAGGAAAAGTGTCTAGGAAAGAAGAAGGTTCACAAACCTGGGGAAAAACACCCAAACTCATCTCTGAGCCCTCCTGTTCCCTAACAACCTCGGGGGCAGCAGCTGCCTGGGCTGCCCTACATCTCGCCTTGACCCAGTCTTCCTTAGCCCTGAGTCCCGTGTCCTGCCATTACCATTAAATGTTTTTTCACAGACGTAAGGGACAAGTGCTGTTATGGCAGAAAGCAGAAGGGATTTTTCTGGCTGGAACTGAACTTAGTCTGTTGTGAGATTGTGTTTGTTGTGAAAGATGTGATGTATTAAATCCTGACTGTGAAGAATACTTTTTTTTATTTATGTTTTTCCCTTCTTTGATTGATCTCTACACTACGGGTTGGATCAAAAAGTGTGGATGATATTGCAAAACTCTTACTGCGTTATTTTAATGAGTTTTTCTTCACATCCTGAGATCCCTCATGAGGTTGAAAAAAAAAAAAAAAAGAGAAAGCTTATTTTCCTTCTGACTGGAAAGCATAAGTGACTATTTCATAAGAAAAATAAAGTGTTGAACTTCACATATCTGCGGTGGATGTTATGAAATGCTGAGATACCATGTCTTCTTTTTACCATCAAGACCACGTGTCCAGGCTGTGCATTTCTAACAATGTCTTTTTGTTGTCCGTTGTTGCAGGAAAAATGGCCCTGTGAGAGTGTTCTGGTACCAATTGTACCAGCTCCTTGTTGCTTCTGCATCACTTCTGCAGTCACTTTGTTGGAACCTTATTTTCCCTTGGTTTAATAATTTATAAAATGCCTGTTGCCTCGAGGCACATTTCATCCAGCAGGAAGAAAAACATCAACCAGTGTTTATTGGTTACAGAGCTGAGGTTGACAAAAAATGAAGTTTTTGTGGATGAGGGGATATGTCATTTTTGTCTTATATAAACCCACAGAAATGCAGGATCTGTGGCTGAAATTTCTGTTAGTTGTTACTCCTTTCTTTTCCCCATCTTTTAAAAGGTCTCTTGCCCACTGGTGACAAAGTGGCTTTTAACTGTGAGCTTCCTTGACATTGTTTTGGGTCTGCTTCTCCTTTTTGCTTTCTGACTCAAGTTTAGCAGCACTTGGGTATGTAAAGACTGTAAAGTAACATGGCAGAATCTGGCCCTACATCTTCACCATCTGAGCTGCCTTGGCGTGAAAGAGATCATTCTCTTTTTGGGTAATAAACTGCTCTCTCAAATCCTCTGCCAGATCTTTATGAGCCACTATTATTAACTGCATTTTGAATCACTCATTGAGCTCGAGGGGGGAAATTGGCCTGCAATTCATCTTGTCTGCTTTGAAACTGCTAAATGATGATTCAGTGGCCTTAGTGGGCAACTTATATCAGCAGCTAATTGGCCTAAGAAGAAAAACTTACCTGATATCAAACAAACTGTCTATTGCTGTTCTTCCTGAAGAAGATGCTGCTCCAGATGAAACCTCCAGTTTCAAATAGTTATGGGATTTTGTTGTGGCACTGGGGAAGAGGATGCAGTGAGCTCTTTCTGTTGGCCATGCCTGGGCGTGGTGTCTGCACCACCTCCAGCAGGTTTTGAAGGTATCATCCTCTAAAGGATAAAAATCTTAACACGTCAAGCTTGCCTTCCCCTGTGGATAGCCCTCCTCTTCCTTCTGAGGGGGTGAAACCACTCACTGGGGTGTAATGGTTTTGGAGGACTTGGCTCAATGGGGGATCCCAACAGAGCTGAATTTAGGAAGGAAGTAAAAGTGTGGTGGAGCCTGCCTGCTTATCACCTTGTCATCCCCATTCCTTTTTTGCAAAGCCCTTTTTAGGAGTGATGTGCCACTCCCCTAATATGCCTGACACTGGGAACACAGGTCAGGATTAGCCCCACTATGTGTCCAGATGGGGCCACGTGCTCTGCCCACGCTCACAGTCAGCCCAACCTTGCTGCTTGTTCTAAACAGTTCAGGGCTGGTGGTTTCTCTGCAAGGAGGGCTGGAATTGCAGGTGAGTGCCAGGGTGGAAGCATCCAGGTATGGCGTGTTCAGCTTTCTTTGCTTGAGGAGCTGCAGGAGTGAGCTGGGACATGTGAAAGGGGTCAGCTGTTGGCTTTCTGCAAGGCTGTTAGTCAACTTACACCACCTCCTAGGATGGTCTTGCCAGCTGGCTCATCCTTTAGGGAAGTTTAAGGAGGCTTATCGCAATCTTACTAGAAATCTGTCGTCTTCTATTAATCTGCTTGTCTCTCCTCGTCTCCCTTCTGAGTGCTCCTGTGCTTATTCATCTCGACAGCACCGCTCTGCTGCGCTGCTGCCGGCTGGCACCAGCTCTGCTCCTTGCAAAAGCCTTGTTTAGGGTATGTACGTTTGTAGACTGTCACTTTTTACTTTCCAACATGGTTTTTATTTATACAGAGAGAGATACTATATTCTAAAAGTTTTTTTTGAAGTTGACACGGGAGGGATAGCAGAGCCCGAGTGCTTTGCTGGCTGGGGTGGAGGTGCAGGGGACCCATGGTGCTCAGGAACAACCTGACTCCAGCTCTGAGTAAGCCAAAGCCCACTCTTATGCCTGGTCCTGCTCAGTGGCAGGCTCAGTGTGGAGCACAAGTGCCTTGGCACCAGCAGCAGCATAAGAGACAGATAATTATGGATAGGAATCACCTGCACCTTCCCCCCTGAAATCAGGAGTGTTCTCACTTTGGGAAGCAGAGATGCCCTTGGCTTGAGCAAAGAGCTCAGAGGATGGGCAGAGGAAAGACTTTGGGAGGTGTGAGGAATGAATTCAACACCCCGGGTCTCATGGCAAGGTGGGAAAGGGCTCGTCAGTGAGAACTGCTGATGCTGGACTGAGTCAGGACTCAGCAGCACCCTTGGCTCTTGCTGGCTGGGGAAATGTCACCTTCAGAGTGATGTGGCTCTTCCTAATGGAGCTTTTCCTTTCAGGGCTCTCAGAAGTGTGTCAATACTGAGGTTAACAGCCACATAGGCACTGAGGAAAAAAAAAGAGTAGCTTGAGGAAGGCTGAGCCTTAATACCCAAACAAAGCAAACAAATGGTGTATTGTTTGAGGAGGATTAGGTGAGCTCTGAGATTTCTGGATCTAGAGGTCCAGGTAGGAAATACAAAGCTTTTGACAAAGATGGATTGGCTGTCCCTGCTTCCAGAGACAGCATCCATGTGCTGATGCAGGTGTGGGAGCTGCCGGAACCACCCATCTGCCTCTCTTGACCTTCACAAGGATGCTCTTTCTCCTGCACAATACATTGTTTGCTCTTCTTTAATATTGGTAGCTGGCAGGGAAAGAGATTACTCTGTTGTTTTTTTTTTTTTCCAGAATAGTCAGCTGATTTCATCCCATGGGAAGTGGTTGAAAAGCAGGAGACAGGTGGGTTGGCATATTCCTGCTTTGTAGCCTTCCATAATTCCAGCAGAAGGCTAAACGGGGAAGTGCAGTTGCTGGGTGCTTTTCTGTTTGCATTTGAAAGACCTTGATAGGCTGTGATTAATGGGGCTAAATGGAAGCTTGATAAATGGTAAATTCAAATGAACCTCAGAAATGGCTTTATAAGGAGGCCTTTGGGTGTGTGCAAAGGGCAGGTTGTGGGTCTCATCTAGTGCTGTTTGGTTTAAGGTGGGCTGGGCACGTTGCATGGGCTGTCCCCTTCCCAGGTGTGTCCCCATGCACCTGCTGCAGGTAAAGCTGTGGTGTCTGTGGAGACACTCCTGCAGGCAGTTGTTCTTTTCCTGGTTTAAGTTAATATGATGTTTCCAAATTTAGAGTATCACATCTGCATCCTGAAGCCCCCCATGTCCCCGTATCCAGGCTCCAATTAAGAACACTCTAAAAGCAGCAGACCAGCTACCATGGCCTTGCAGATGAGAACCATTGGCCTAATCTATTTTTAAAGTGAGTTAAACTAGAAAAAGGTACTGCCACTCTAGAATAAGAAGCCACCTGGGGAGTTAACCCAGAATAGTTGTTCTGCTTTGAATTCACACCCTATCTCACTTCAGAATAACTTTACTTTCTATATACACAGTGCAGAAAATGGGGCATGACCCATCTCTGTAAATGCAGAATATGGGGCATGACTTAAGCAGGATCACCCAACAGAGTCAGGAAAACACCTTATTTTTCCTGAGGTCTTCTGTGCATCACTTCCTAGTGAGCTGTG